GAGTTTGGTGGTGGATAATTATCCAGACCACTATTTATGTGGCGCGCCCTCTATTAAATAAAGATATTGGTGCGGATGCTGCACTATGTGTAACACTATGATATTTAATTTTATGGGAAACCATCAAATAAAAAAAATATAATTTGACCGAAACAATAATTTAGGTTTTTTAAATTAACGCAACGTCCATAGAAAACTAATACATTCTGGGCAATAACCCGAGCCTACCAGGCCCAGCTGTATTACGTAAGTTTAAGTTCGGCCAGTGATCGGTCTTGATTCGTTACATGAGTTGATTTAATTTCGTGAGAAACCGTCAAACAACTGAACGATTCTTAGGAGAATGGGCGCTCTAAATACACACTGTATTATTATTATCTTTCAAATAACTTTTCTTTAATTGGGAACATTCCCAAGAAATGTAGTAATTCCCAAACCGAGGAAAACGAAAGACAACAAAGCCCCTCACCATTAAAACGGGAAATAGAAGATTGAAAAACAAAGTCATGTGGATCACAAGAATGTACATTACGGATTGAATAATTGAACCAAAATCCATTACATGGGCTTTAATGGACTTGCTTTCTACTGTCATTGACATGCAGGCGCGGATCCAGAGTTTTTTTTGGGATCGAACCCCTCCCTGCTCCGACACAACATGTACAAGTACAGCGGATTCTTCAGCGGTTATTGTGCATCTGACGGGCCTGAATCTGGCGTGCCCGACCCCCACCCCACCCCCGCAAAAGTTCCTATAGATCCGCCTCTAATAATTAGAGGGGGAGGATGCACTGTGGCAAATTTCAAACGGCTACAGATTTAAGGAGCAAGCCAGGCGGGGAAAATTGACCAAAGTGAGCACCCGGCACCGAAAATTGACCAATATAAGCACCCTAGCTAAGTTTCCTACAAAATATAACTACCAAATTGAAATAAAAAAAAACAACAAAGTAAGCAAAATGAAATGATTGAATACTGGACAAAAAGTTGTTCTTAAGAATTCAGAAAGATGTTTATGAAAAGTTTGTAAATGGAGACAAAATATGTGATGTAATGTTGCAGTCACGTGGTAGTGGTTGGACGGCATCCAGAAGGATGAAATAGCCCCAAAATTGACCAAAAGTATGGTGTTCCATATGTGCCATCGGCGTCGCATTTCTTTCACCAGAGCTTATTGTGTAATCGCACTTTTTATTTTTAGCAAGTTGCACAATTAAGGTGAGATTTAATTTAAATGGAAATTGACATATTAACCTCAATCAAATGGAACTAAAGAGTCCAGGACATCAAACTACACAAAAATAAACAGCCGAAACACTACAGAATTTACCTGTTTCAATAAAAATTTAATACAAACTTTTCTGATTTTGAAAAAAAAAGAATATTTTTAAACCTCTTAAAGCAGGAAGCACTGTTTCAGCATGCAATACAAATGCTCATTAGAACCATAGAAAAATCTATAAAATTATGCTATGCATAGTACATTGTGGGACAAACTGGTTTCGTAACATCTATAGCAATAATTTCCGTACTCGGATGCTGATAGTATAAAATATACATAAACACAACAAACAAAATTGTTTGTTTTGGAAAGGTGAACTAATTTTAAATGTCAAACCAATAACAACATTTGTTCTTAAAAACTTCATAAAGATATGGTAATGTTTTTTTCTTCATAAAAATGGCACAATGTATTCACTTGCATGTATAATATATTAAATATGTGGACTGTTTTAAGTAATCCTGCAAAATGATATTTTTTTTTGAAAAGGTGAACTAATTTTAAATTTGACACCAATAAAATAATTGTTCTTAAAAACTTCATAAAGATATAAAAAAAAATTCTTCATAAAAATAGCGCAAAGTACTCATCTGCATGTACTATGCACATATAAATATGTGGACTGTTTTAAGTAATCCTTTAAAATTATCAAGAAACTGACACAAGTTTCAGGGGGAAAATTAGACAGATGCATCCAGGATGCAATCATCTTGAATTAAACATTAAAAACTGGCTAATTAAAAGGGAATGTACAACATTTGCTTTTGCTGCAATTTTCAGAAATGGATGGATTTTGGGTTTTTTAAATTTTATAGCAAATAATGTTACGCTGACTTGTTTGAAATTGTGGGTTCGTAGATGCTGGAAAAACCAAGAAAAACAATCATGTTCCTGTGGTCTGGTTCCCTGACCCCACGTAAGATGAAACGGAGCAATTAATACACGTCAGGGAATTGTAAGGTCAGGGAACCAGTCCAGCTGGCTTGTACCTGTTCATAGGTATGTGTAATCGATTGCACTGAAACAAAATAAGGACTGACTAAATACGGTAAATTGGGGACAGTATTCGAAAAAAACTTATTTTTTCTACAATGGCTGGCCGACCATCCTTGGAAATTGATACAAAAATACCACTTTTCTTGAAAATGTCAGCACACCAGGTGCCATGATTTTACAGGATGCTTTAGACTGTCATTCACTAACAGTTCAGTAAGGTATTTGATAATAATTTGGTAATTTTGCTTTTTGAAGTTTGCAAATGTTGTATATTCCCTTTAAACAACACAATTAAGAAGTTGAACGACTACGACAAATACAGAAACTTCATAAGTTCAGATATAAAAATTATAATTTATATTCTCATAAAATTGGATAATATGTTAATACTGTTGTCAAAACATTCCAAAAAATTACCAGGAATACTATAATAATTTCAATTTATAATTAATTTGATCAACATACATTTGCATGTTGTTAAATGATGGGTTTGGTTTGGGCAAGATTACACCAATGTTTAAAACATTTCCCAACTTGTTTTTGTCTCTCTTCTGAATACTTCTTTCAATCAAATATTTCATACAATTGAGAATGACATAAAAGGACGCCAAATTACAAATAAAAATGCTTTGTAAGCTACAAAGAATACCCAACCTAAGATTTGCTCACTATCTCAACCACTAAGAAACTTAGTAAAATTTATATTTTTCGTCATTAACTCAGGTACTTTCGATACGATTTCTTTTGAAGAGTTTCACAGCCTCTGGCGAATACAGTACTTTCAATTTTAAAATTTTACAACATTTTTTGTTTTGTTTTAATTTCTTTGAGTCGTCTGCATGCTTTTGAGGAAGCGCTTTTTAAAGTACTTACATAAACCACAAAGGGAGACTGACAAGGACCATTATAAAAATTGAGTTGAACAACGGTACCAACCGGGAAGGGTTTGCACCCGACAAAATGTAGCCTTTAGTCAATGCCCCTGCGGCTAACCGCACACCTGACGCACCCCGGATACCAATATGCAGGGTGCCTCACATGTCCGGCTAGCCGCGTGGGCCTTGACTTAAGGCTAGACAACAAAGGCTAGACAATATGGGAACTGCCAACATAGGCCTAGATCGTTGGTAGAGCACTCTACACCCGATTTCATGAAACTCTTACATTTACGACTCATTGCAGCACTGTGACGCGTTGTATGCATACGATCCGTCGCACGAGTCCTGTGATTCATTTCACAAAACTCGTCATAAGTGTGATGCGTCCTAGGTGTATTTATAGTACAATACAGTGACTGTTATATGTATTTATTCAATGTACAGTAAATAATCGTCTGATATTCAGCAATGAGTTGTCAGATTTCCTTTCGAAAAGTTTTTTAAACATAAAACAAATTGGCAAACGTTTGAGGCAGTTTTACGGAAAAGAAGCTTGCGGTGGACTGTTAGCTAATTAGAAATTTCACCTGCAATATTCAAGGCCAATTTGTATTTGCTCATTTTCTATCTATTTTCATCTATTTGAAAAGCAAGGGTGTGCAAGGCGCAATACAAAGGTTGGAATTATCTTCCAGTTTTGGCAGCTAGATACAAATGCAAGTGCAGAAGTCAAAATTTAAAAACATTCTTTGTAATCGTACATGTCACTTTCTTTTTCAAAATAGAAAACAATAATAATAAACCGCTTATAAATTATAAATGCTTATAAAATGCATTTCACACAAGGTCCCAATATGCTGTACAAGAGTCATTGTTCCCCCTTCTCGGTGGGCCAATGAAACATTCCAAATGCAATCTCAGCTCCCTGGGGAGTATACAGCTCGATGCTGCCATTTCTGCGCAAAGCAGCTAAAATCAACCACAATAACCATCTCGGCCCTCACAGGTACCCATTTACTCCTGGGTGGAGAGAAGCAATGAGTGAGCCATTGGTAACTAACTAATGTTTGAGTATAAATTCATTGACCGTCTAAGTTGTTCAAGAGGAAATATAAGCTTGTTTTGAGTATCAAGTAACCCAGGTTCCATTCTCGATGAGAAATCTTTCAGTTTACTTTCCAAAAAAATATATTATTTCATTCCTTTTATTACTTTAAATCAAATGCTTTTCTCCATTCTTGATGAGAAATCTTTTAGTTTTCTTTCCAAAAAAATATATCATTTCATTCCTTTTATTACTTTAAAGGGAATATACATCATTTGCTTTTGCTGTAATTTTCAGAAATGGATGGAATTGGGGGGTTGGAAATATATAGCAAATATAGTTACACTGACTTTTTTGAGGTTTTGGGTTCGAAAATGCTATAAAAACCAAGAAAAACAATCCTTTTCCTGTAGTCTGGTTCCCTGACTCCATTCAAGAAGAAACAGAGCAGTTTACATACATTGGGGAACATTGTAAGGTCAGGGAACCAGTCTAGCTGGCTTGTACCCGTTCATAGGTGTGTAATCGATTGCAAACAAGTGCGATGGTCAACTGGGGCCAGTATTTGAAAAAAAAGCCAGTTTTTTCCAACGCTGGTCGGCCGATCAGCGTTGGAAATTGATACAAAAATACCACTTTTCTTGAAAATGACAGTATACCAGGTGCCATGATTTTACAGGATGCTTTACACTGTCATTCACTAACAGTCCAGCAAGGTACTTCAAAATGATTTGGTAGTTTTATTTGTTGATGTTTGCAAATGTTGTATTTTCCCTTTAAATCAAATGCTTAAAAAAGAAAAAAAAGATTTCATCTTTTCTTTTTGATTTGTGGCTCTAGAGGATTTCATGTTTTTTTTTAGGGAAGTAAACTCTAGAAAGCATTCGTTTGACGATCAACTGATGCTGTGTGACAGTTGAATTTTGTGTATTGAAAAGCCAGCACTCTTTAGTCCTCATTGGAATTATTCATTAGCACTCTTTCCATATGATCACATTTCCACTTCGATTTCCTCACTGTCATTGTTGTTGATGAGGACTTTCGGGACATCAGTGCTTGACCCCTGACCTATAGCCTCCACTCCAGCCGCCTTCCTGTCCACCATTGTTATCTCCTCGACGGCGATGCTACTATTGCTGTTGTTGCTGTTATTGCGGCTGATTGGTCGGCCAGTTGCAGCGGTGGCCGCAACCGTGGGGGCACTGTTCAAGTCTGGGCCGCACAGCGATGCGATGTCGTGACCGACTTCGATAAGCTGTTTGCTCTCCGTCCGAACGCAGCTCATCCTCTCCCGCTGTTTAAACGGCTCCTTCGTAGAGACTTGGATGATGGGGCCCGAGTAGCTCTTGCGCCGCTGGGCGTCTTCGCCGGGCTTCTCTTCCGGCACCAGACTATTCTCGTGTTTCGGTGGGACCGGCTCAGAGGCTGCGCAGAGAGAGCCTCCTCTTTGGTCTGCAGTTGGCACCGCCAGCGTTGGGACGTCCGGAACGGGTTGCACGGGTTTTTCTAGAAATTCCCACGTGGTTTCATCCTCGGGTGCGGAGGACGATTTCGCGTTGTTTTTGCCGCGGAAAAGAAATGAAAACCTGGAAAACATCGGGAAACAAAAAAGTCAGTAAAATTTCAAGAGGATATGAAGGCTAGGATGGTTCAGTAACAAAACAATTCAACGTGGACTTGACGACGTAACATACCTGTAAATTTGAGATTTTTTTTGATATTCTTACATTTTACGATGTCCTTTACATGATCTGCCAATTTTCAAGACACACAATTGCACCATTCGTTAATTACGCTAATTACAGAAACTGGCCAATGTGCAGCAACTCAGTTTTTTTGTTTTGACAAAATGACCTACTCTATTCGTCACTCAGTCTCACTGATTTACATGTAAGCTAGCCTTTTACATTTGTGCAAGCCTCTACGATTTGCATTTTGACAAAGTGACAAACGTGCCTTAAAAAATGTATAAATTTTATACATGTGCTCCCAGTGAATCTGTGTACGAACATACATTGCGTACGAGTGACGAATATGTGTCCATGCTCTAATTTTTCCGTTTTGATAAAGTGATGAATGTACTTTGTAATTACTATGTCCTTAATTAAACATTTTATGAAAACAGAAACAAAGCATGGCTATTTAACTACTGGGCTATCGCATCAGTTATATATTTTTTAATTTGGGGAGAGAAAAGTATACAAACACACAATTTGAAAAAATGGATGAACTTTAAACACGATTTTCTCAAAACTTAGTTTTGCTGCTTTGTTGGCAGATTCATCACTTTGTCAAAATGGTGTCAAAATTGATACTGACTTCCTGAATTTGCAGACAGTTTGTGCAAAAATGTCTGAAGACTCTTTGTTTGTTGGATGAAATGTCTGAATTCGGTCAGTGGTTGTCAAGTTCAGAAATACCAATGTATGGGTTTTAATGTTCCATTTTCAGACATTTTGTCCAAAGCAGAGAATTTTCAGACATTCAGGGAACGGCGTATTCAACGCTGCATTAAATAAAAGTCCAGAATACAACCCTCGTGTTTCAAAACATCAAAAGCTGATGGAAAGCATGCAACGTTTCTCTTTACCAACATTTTTAATCATATGGACACCAGCTTCATCCAGGACTTAAAAAAGGAAGCAATATTCATTAAGTCATGGAGGTTCACATCAAAAATCACCCATCACCAACCAATCCACCGGAAACAAAAACCAGCCACGCCTACTCAATCAACTTCTTTAAACATCTAATTTACCTTTTTTCTACCAAAAAGTTACAAATTTCCAACACAGTGGACAACTCTAGTCCCCACAAAGTAAGTGAGTGTTCTATAAAATGCTACCTACTTTAAATAAGGTACCCTACCTCCCTTGGCCTGTGTGTGGGCCTTCCTGAATCCACCAAATTCCAACAATGTGCACATTCTTTGTCCAACATTGACCTTAAACTCTGTGTAAAATAGTAGAACCTGGGGCCTCAGTCCTTGTTCCATCAAAATCTATCTGTTGACTAGGTGTTGGATTTTGGCAGATTACAACCGGCCCTTTACTATCACTTTTTACACCCACGGTTCCACGGTCGTACTGTAAACTACAGTACACGTTTGAATAGGGTATAGGGTCCAATCCACGCCACCATGTGCTGTCTATCAATTTGGGGGTGCTCTAGTGGTCAGAAGACTGCAAACAGCCATTACTTGAGCTTGCTGACTAGTCCCGTTGACAGGATGATTGATTATACATGCCCTGCACCGAAGCCCGCTAGACTCACTATAAGGATTTTATTACGTTAACATGCGGTTCTTGTGAGAGGGGCTGGTGTTTGGCTACGATTTTCAGGTTCAATAGTTCAACCCAAGGGGCACTCACCATGATATTTTGAGATGTTTCAATGACGAACTTGTGAAATATGAAATTTTTGACCGCAAAATGTCGGAGTAATTACAAAATTAAGCAATCTGGACTTTAATTTAGAGCAGAGTCACTCAGCAGAGGGATTCATCTCTGCCCAACCCCAAGCTCCGCCCTTCCACCACGCTACCAAACAATAACTGCAATATAACTCTTTAGTTTGGTTTACTTTGAGACTGGAAAGCAAAGCAAGTGAAGTCAGACACAAGACCAAGTGAGTTAGAGTGCTGTTACCTCCACCACAACTACGCGATACTTTTCTACGAGCCAAATTTTTGAACACATATGGAATTTCCTCGTGCAAGTTAGAACCATACAGAAAACAAGACATCAAACCGAGAAACCGTGCCCCTTTGACCAAAAGTGTGTTCACAGCTTGACAAAAGACACAGTCGCACCACAAAACCTACGAATGTGTACAATGTGAAGTATGGTACATGCTAGTGCATCAATGTTTTCTACGAGCAGTTGCCAGATAAGTCTAACAACAAGATTTCGAAATTGCAAACACAAACAAAATGTTGACCAACAACAAACACACCGGACATGCTGTTAGTTTCCTGGATCTCACCTCTTCAGTCACTTCAAGCCTCTCGAGCACATTCCTTTTGTAAGTTACCATGGAAACAGATTAATAAAGATTAAGCAAGTTTAGATAACATTCACTAGGTTGCATCAAGTCAATGGGACCAGGCCATTCAGGTCTCTAACTACAGGCTGGTGAAGTGGCTCTTCCCCAACTTGAAACTTCTAATGACCCTAGTTCAGTTCCTAGCTGTCTGTGCCAATGTCTGGATTTGGTACAAAGGATCTGAAATTACTTGTGACTACGGCTTGCAATCACATATGCCCCTATGGAAGGCTGCAGTCGCTGCAAAGACTTGTGTCTTTCTGCCAGCTGCACCCAAATAATTTGTACATGGTCTTAGTCCCTAACTTGGGCCAAGTTCTATCAGCAAATATCAGCTGGGAACCAATCACAAGCAATGCACATCCCATCAGGTTTTTGACTGGTAACCAGTTTTGCCAAGCTTAAATTGGTTCCTTCAAAACGCTGATTTATGCTTCCAACAAATCAAATGCAAGCAACTCTGAAGTCAAAAAATATTTGAGTCAAAATTGGCCAGAATTAAACTGTGTTCAACTTACACGAATTTGCAATGCACGAACACTTGCAAGGTTATGATAGTAACTTTGCAAGTGTTCGTGCATTGAAAATTCGTGCAAGTTGAACATTAACTCTGGCAAATTTTGACTCAAATATTTTTGCTTCATGAACTGGCCATTAAACTGACATGTCCATCCTTTACAAAGAGGATGTGCTTGGCAGGTATTAAACAAGTGCGTTTAAAACTGGTTAGGGGCCTGGACGATGATAAAGGCCCGAGCAATTATTTGCGACAAGGCCCTGAGCAAGTTTTAATTAAAAACATACATTCAATACCGGCCAAGCACATATTTATTCCAATTCATAAATACCTTTCGGTAAAAAGTCAGAACAAGTCAAAAATTATAACTTTCCAACGATTTTGATCAACAATTTTACATCATGTTTTATGAAACACCCCCTCTAGCTATGCGTACTGCGCGGTGTGGCGCAGAATGCAGCAGTGTCGGAAAAAAAAGTGTTTAAAACCAGTCAGTGTTTTATCAACCTTTTAAAACCACCCATGTGACGGCTCTCCACCAATAGGAATGGGTAAACTGTCTTAGGTATTTAGGAATTTGAATTGAAGCACTTCCTAGAATAAATCGGAAATTAGTACATGAATTGTGAGATTTAGCAGGGCAAGGGATATGTAAACCGAAGGAAAATGCATTGCAATAACTTTCTTAAATAAGCCGGTACCTGCAATTGACCTATCGCCGTTTGCGAGTTAGCCACGCCCCTTAGACAACCCTATGCAATTTTTGTACACTAAGTTTTGTTTGTCTCAGATTTTGCGTGTTCCACGTCAATTTGTATATCATGTAATTGGACAATATTTCACAAGCTGCGTTGACGTGATTCTCACGCGATTCTACCGCGATAGGTCAATTAAACACACGCCAACATACAACTCATTCAAAAACACCTTGAAAAGTTCAAACCATCAATTAAGATATTACTTTTAACAGTGCATGCTGTTCTTCAATGATTCAGATGAAAATGTACTCACTAATGAGCTTATTTGTTCTACTGGAGCTATAAAGCTAACACATCTTGCACATGTGCGAGACACTGGGGCAACACATGGCTACACTGGATGGTGTATGATAAATGGCAAAACAGTCCAGATTTGAAAATACAAATCAACTATTTTTTCAATTTTTTTGGCATGACATTTGAAAACCTTTGAATAAGTTAGGAATCAAAGCTTGGTCAAAGCTAACTATTAAAATTGTCACTAAAATGCCAAAAAAGGAATAAAACTGATGCAAAATGCTTACTGACTGGATTGACCTGAAAAATACAACTCCAAAAAGTTAGAGACCCAAAGCCGTAACTCCACTTGTAACTCCACTTGCGCAACAATTGATTGCGCAAGATGCGCAACATTTCACACCGCACGACATTTTAGGTATGACACATTTCACGAAAGTTTCATAGGGCGCAAGTCAGTGACTTGAGCAACAAATTATGGCGTAACTTGTGCAAAAAAATTTAGGTGGTATAAGCTGTGGCGTAGCGACTGAACATGAACTATTTTAAGAGCAAATCGTGATGATTGCGGAGGCTGTAATTGCACAACCTATCAAGGTTGATACAAGACACTCACAGCTTCATGTTGGAGGTATATGAATTGCTATTTTACTTGCGACAGAATTTTTATAGTAGCCGCACGATTCCAAGAAAGTTGGACAAAACATTTTTTCAAAACTGGGGGCGGAGGTGATTCAAAAACTGTTTCGTGAATGAACGCAATTATTTAAAACGTTGCAGAGCTACACCGAGTTTCTTGAAATCGATCATAAGTTTATTGCGCGCAGCTGTGCACAAAACTTTTTGCGGAAGTCCTATGCATGGTGTAAGTTGCGCACTGTTTCGTGAAATCGGCTGCTGATGTTTGACTCTGGATATATCTCAGAAGCAAAGGAAAAAAAAATTGTCACAAAATATCGCATGCCATCACAATTCATCCAATCTTAATCAAGGTGACAACCTATAGATACAAATGAGCTATGACATAGGCATTCCTCTGTCATAGTTTATTATGTTGCTTAAATTGTGACCAGCTGGGCCCAATTTCATAGAGCTGCTTAAGCAGAAAATTTGCTTAAGCACGAAAAAACATTGCTTAGTAAAATTAGGTTACCGGCCAAAAGTCCATGTGATGTACATTGCTTGTGACTGGTATTTAGCTGTTGTTTACTTAGCAAAACAATCGCATGGAGTTTTGGCCGGTAACCTGATTTTATTAAGCACGACGTTTTTGTGCTTAAGCAAATTTTGTGCTTAAGCAGCTCTATGAAATTGGGCCCAATTTAAATAACAAGCAACATAATAAACTATGACAGAGGAATGCCTATGTCCTTGGTTGACTTGAGATTGACAGTTACATTTGTGCTTTTGCCATTCACCAATGTCTTTCAGTACTGTATTGTCAGTGATCTCCAAGACTTGAGAAAAATGTCGTAAGCCTACTACTAGGGCGGGATTTGAACCCACCACTTTCTGCTAAAAATCACATTATAATTGGTACGTACAGTCTCTTGATTCCAAGGGGTTCTCCTTTACTCTTTCCAGCGTTGGAGTTGGACCTCGGTTTCTTCTGGTCAGCTTCCGTTTCATTCTGGGAGCCTTCCTCCTTTGGCCTATATAAGTGCACATGAACACAATTGTGAGGCCTTCTGGCAAAATGAGACAACTGGGCATTTGCAAAATGGAGGATTTTGCAGGCTTTATGGCAAAAATGTGTGGCTGATTTTGGTGGATGCATTGTGTCAAGGTCTTAGGCTGGGCCTTGTTTTGTTTAAATGCTCAGCCGTGCATACATTTAGGCCTAGATTAAACTTGAAATCCTCCACGCTGCTCCAGAATGTCACTGGCTCTGCCTCAACATATTGACAGTGATTGCTGGAGGATTTTGCAGGATTGAGGCAGTGGTCACCCCTCCAAGGACCACTTTCAAGAAATAACGGAGGATTTTGCAGGATTGAGGCTGCATGCAATTTTTACATGGAGGCAGTTGGAGGATTTTGCAGTATTGAGGTTGCATGCTAGCAAAAATGCCTGGAGAGTTACGGTTGAGCGCTTGACGCTTGAGTAAAAGAGTTGAGAAAATGGGAGAATCAATCCGCCATCTTGGAAAGTCTGCCATCTTGGGGAAAAAAAGAAGAAAAACTAAAGCGCCTGCCTCCTTTATTTTTTCAAAAAGCCCGGACGAGAAACTATTTATGTTTTAATTGGCCTAATATGTATTCCATGAAAATTTATGTATTCCACGAAACGTTTTTTGCAAAGCAAATAATTTTTTTTTTGCAGTTAACAAAATGTCAAGCTTACCTGTACTGTTGTAATTCATCCTCTAGTTCCATGACATCCAACTTGAGTTCGTCCCGTTCCTGGAGGACAGTCTGGAGTTCCCGCAGCGTGAAGCGGGGTCGGTTGGGATCGCTCAGGTCGATGATTGCTTTGCCCGTCATGTCGATTGTCACCTGAAAAATATTGTGTCAAGTGTTCAGTTTTAGCAAAGTACAAACAGTATGTCATGAGCCAATATGGCCTATCAAGCCGGCATTCATCTCCGGTTTCAGTGGCAGGAAACGACTAAGAATATTTCTATTTCCCCTGGATCGGATGCTAGTCCATGGCAGGTTACTCCCAACTAATGCCAGTACCCATTTATACTCATGGGTTGAGAGAGGCAAGTGAGGGTGAAGTGACTTGCCCAAGGACACAACATGCAGCCAGCAGCTGGATTCGAACCCCTGACCCTCAGATCATGAATCACGAACCCTAACCACTAGGTTACGTTCCCCCTAAAGTGCGAAGTTTTAGGATGCATTAACTGGGCACATTTAATGTGGAGACATTATGCATGATGACCTGTTTGGACACACACTACCCTATTTCCTCACAAGAGAGAACTGCTAAGCACAGAAAAAAATTGCTTAGAGAAAAAATCTCCTTACGAGCCAAAAATATCAATCGAGACTGGTTCTCAGTGAATTTCAGCTGAGCAGAAAAGTTTGTGGAGCAACATTTTCCACTAAGGGAGTCAGGTTGGCATAGCGGTGCTTTCCTCGCCTTCCACTGCTGTTACCTGAGTTCGAATCCCGCCTGGGCCAATATGTGGATTGGGTTTTCAGTCCCTACCTGATTCCGTGGGTTTTCCCTAGAATATCATTCTGGGCTTTTTCCTCCCACCTCTAAAACTGTAATTTCTTCTCATTGTTTTCTCTCTACAGGTTTCTTCAGGCTTGCGAGCTACAGTGCCTAGGGCGCTTTTGAGAAATCCTTGGTTTCATTACCGGAAATGATTAAGAATAATAATAATAACTGAAACGTTCTTTCCTTTAGTGTACAAACTGAAACGAGAACAGGATCCCACATGACTAAACCTTTTATTATAAAGGACCCTTCTGTGACAACATGAAGATCATACCATATCGGTCATTGGTGCGTTCTCCTTTTCCGCCTCAGAATCACCATTCTCATCCGAACTCTTCTGCTGTCGTTCGCCGTCCACAACGTCCCTGCCTGCTAGCCCATGATGCTCCGGCAGCGCCGTCTCTTTCCCCATCGCCCTCAGCTCTGATTGGAGCTCTGACTTTTCGTGGATGAAGTTTTTAGCCATGGTGCTGAGGAGCTCATTCTTGCGCCGCAGGTCCGCTGTAACTTTTGCCAGCCTGTCAACATGCTGCTGTAACTGTGAAAGTAGACAGAATTGGTAAAAGGAAAAAAAAAATGTTGCTCTTTAGATTTTACCTGCCTGAACTCTTTGAACAGTAGACATCATGTGAGAACTAGTGGTTACGGGTAGTATGGGAACCGGGTAACCTATTGAAGTAACACATGGGTAGCCGGGTACAGTAAAAGAAACCCGAACTCAGAATTCATATTCCGGAAATAATCTGAAGGGCTTTATAGCTTTACGGTGTAAACTGCAAATCCGAACCAAACTTTCAAATTTCAGCCAGTACTTTTGGGCATCTTCATGGCAACACTTTTATCGAATGTCGCACACGTGCGATAAAAATGAACCACCTACAGAAGTAGCACATGCACACTAGTTTCCCCCCATTCTTCTGGGAATATTTTACAAGATTCCCAAGACGTTGTTGTGATAGTGTTTCGCTAATGAAAGCCGTTCAATGTGATAACGCCCTTTCGCGGAAGGTATTCGCGTCTTCAATATACAACGTTTTGGCCCAAGACTAGCTTGCAACCCGACTTAATTATTGTTCACAAACATACTTGGTTGAAAGATAGTAATGGTGCGTCTAAAGACGCACCATTGGAAATTTCCGTTAGTAGTTCGTTTTTTTTATTCGGCGAAGTGAGTGCAAGCATTGGCACAATGCACACGTGCGCGCGGTTGCTATAATTCGTCAGATCGTTGCGTGACATCGCGTAGCTGCAATCGGCTCAGTGAGAACGTGTCTCGGATGCTGAATTCAGGCCCAATTTAAAACATGATTCAGCAACTTTTGATTTGAAGAGATCCTAGAATGCTGTCTTTCTCGAAATATACAGCTGAAGCTGAGCTGAAATTTCATCAGGTTAGTTGTTCAGCACCCTTCTTTAGATTTTGAGCACGTTTGTTGCTTAAAACGAACAAAATGCACAAATTCGAATGATGGACTGTACCTCCTGGTGGATATTGAAGGGTCTGGGACTTTTACAGCGTCTCCATTTAATTTCATTTCAGAAGGCTGAATCCACTTTATACCAATTTGTGTAGAATTCTAGGACTTACAGCTTCCACCTCCAATGCTCGTGTTGCCATCTCGTCATCCTTGGCTCGTAGCTGATCTCTCTGCTTATCCACGGTCTCCTTCAACTGATACAGGACCTGCAGAGCCTGTTGCTCATGAGCTGGGATCAGGAAGAAATTAAAACATATGCCGACAATGAGAATTTAGCAAAGTAATACTCTTTTTCAGCCTCATCCTATTTGCTGTACCCAATATATCAAATATTCAATTATGAACCTACATGTAATATCCAAATATCATTTGCTCGATTCAAATATTCCAAAAATACATGTATGAGCAATCTTGGGAGAAAAATGATGGTAAACATCGACGATGTTACATTTATCGTTTTGTGTGGTCTGTTTGTCAAATGCTAAAGTTTGTTGAAAGCCACTTTCGCACATGATTTGAGAGCTTCAATGAGAAGAGTCAGCTCAAATTTCTCGTTTATAATTGGTCAAATATCAGCCATTCCAGTACCACTTCTTATATTATTTTAATACGCTATTGAAGACGCAGACCACACTGGTCACCGACGGACAGAAGGCGGCACTGCTCACTGAGGCCAGTGAACAAAGGTATGAAACACCAACTTTTTGGGCTTTTTAACTTTTCAAAGGGGGCTTGGGATGGTATTTCATGTACATATTTGTCCCCCTTCCCTAAATACGCCACTACTCATAGCTACATTCCATTTTTTGTTGTCATGTGCAAGCTGAAGTACAAATACAGTCGAATCTCGTTAGTACAAACTCTGTTAATACAAAATTCTGGTTATAACAAACATAAAGCCTTAGTCCCGACTGTGCATTTATGTGCACAATGAATGGGACTGATGTTCCGGTAATCCTTACCTTTAGGACCCCTTTACTATATAAGGTTAAAAGACTCACAAAACAGCTGACTAAATGACACTCATAAGTGACATTCTGATATTTCTTGGCACATTTGAACATTTGGCAATGACACCTCTTGAATATCAGCAGGTTTAATTTTGTAGAAAGAGGGCAGGGCTTTGATTTAAGAGGGGTTAAAGACGACGATGACAAACAGAAAATATATTTAAAAAGCAAGATGGCGAACTGCAAAATAATGTAGGAAAGTCACATTTTCTTAGAAAGTGCTTTTAAAATTCTAACATGAGTTTGTCTGAAGAAAAAAAAGACTTCTTTAGCCTGCAAAAGTCACTTTGGTACTGGACAGTCATCTGCAAAAGTCAGTTTTGAATAGAACTCATACAAAATAGAGGTGTCCTAAAAGTAAGGATTACCGATGTTCCTCTTAATACAAAAATTTGATATAACCAACAATTTGGTAAGGTCCGAACAAGTTTGTATTAACGAGACTCGACAGTACACCACACTCCTGGAAACAAATCGGTCCAATGAACGCTGGAAGAAATTACAGTATATGGGTCACCAGCAGCACTCTTGGATATGGATATGTACAAGAAGCACAATAGACCATTTCCACCCCCAGCCCCACCCCCCAATCCCATACCTTTCTCTTGGTCTACAATGCCTTCTTTCTCGCTCAGCTGTGCCTTCAAGCGGTTGGTCTCCTCTTCCAGTTCTTTTGCCATCGCCATCCAGTCCCTTATTTCCTTCTGCCTGTGATCTTCCAGCAGCTTCACATCCTAATAGAACATATTGACGGAGACACATTGATGAGTACAACTACAGTGTAACACAAAATGTTTCCATCCATTGTCATTTTGAGAAGGTAAAGTTTATAAATAACATGAATAAACTGGGTGGATTACAAACAACTTAATGAGACTAGTACGACTGACCAAGGTCAAAATTCGAAACAAAAAGGCATTCTAGTGCTCTATTTTTTCATACTTGACCAACTTTGGTCGGTCGTACTACCAATGTCCAGAATTTATGTTTGCTTAGGAGGGTTCAACATAATATACAATGAAAGTTAGTTGTAGCCCTATAGGTCCTGAATCCTCCCAAATAAAATGACCCAATTTCAACTCAACCGTTGGGATAACTCGACCGTATGTGCGTTAACGGAAAGACAAGTCGCCCGTTGAGACAAGTCGCCCGTTGAGACAAGTCTATTCGAAATTTTTCGGGGAATATTTATATAGGCCATGGTACAAGGCCCTAACAGGGATTTTTTGCCGTGAGGATTTCGTTGCCGTGTCCAGCCGCGGGCGGTGGGGTACAGGTATGGGGTAGCCTGCTTGGCTCGGTTGGATCGGGCTGGGTTTGATGGGGCTAGTGGGGTCGCTGGACGGGGTTGGCTTATTTTAGTTTAGGAAAATGATGGCGCTATCCCATAATGAGATGGGTGGACATAACAGATCAGGTACATGTAGGTTTCGGATAATGACTGCGTTGTCTTAACGGTCGAGTTGTTCCGAGTCGACTTGTCTCAACGGCCGACTTGTCTCACGGTCGAGTTGTCTCAACGGTCAAGCTGTCTCGAGTCGAGTTGTCTCAACGGTCGAGTTGTCTGACATTCGATGCCTCGATCCTTGGCCTCCTCAAACACTTGCCGATATCAGACGCAAATTTTCATCGGTTGCCCGGGAGCCCGCATGCCTGGCACTCTGCAGCTCCTCCTGCAACTGCTGGAGTTCGTTGATCCCATTCTCGCGCTGTTTGACGCACAATTCCAGCTGCTCCAAAACTCGGACCACCTTGGGCATGAGTTCAACCACAAGGTCGCTGCCCACCGCATCTATGAGTTTCTCCAGATCTTTGCCGATTTCGGCGGCCCATCCGTAGACCTCTATCACAGTTAATTCAGAAGCAGAACTCATTTTGGCCAACTCAACAAAAAAGCCACAGCTACATGTGTAGGTTTCTCTGCAAATTTCAGGAATTTATCCGGGAGAAGTTGCAATCAACAAATGCTGTTTGTTTCCACATTCAGTAGTGCCACTCTCAACATTTTGGTAAAACCTTAAGTTCAACTTTGCACTGGACTGGACATGCTGGAGGTCTTGTTCAAGTTGTTCAGGCCTTTTGTCCAGTCATGGAGTTGTTTGCTGTGCATGCCATGGTTATTCCTGCTGAGAAAACAAACCAGGATACTCCATTTAGAACCATCACAAACTCTTTAGGCGATCATGGTCCAGACACTGAAACCGAAAGACACATACATTGTTACGTGAGATAAGATATTACAGCGACATGCGTCAATGCAATATGCAATGCATTGTCAAAAGGCCACGTTCGTTCATAATGCATTGTTTGTTTATCATTTGCCCTCCCAATGTCATGTGACTGACATCATCGATCAGAAGCAACATGGCGGCCGTTCTGTTGTGGGCACGTCGGTCGCAAGTGTGAGGCACAAATCGTCGAATTTTATCGAGTTGCGGGGCTCGGACAGCGTCCGATCTTCAGCATGGGGAACAAGGACAGCAAGCCCTCGATTATCCCCTACGAAGATGCCATTAAAAGAGGTTTGTTGTTGTTTTAACTGTGTCGATTCAGACTCGGGGGTGTAACTCTAATTGACGCAGTTGACTGAGTTTGTGTGTGCATGTAGGCCTACACATGTATCGTAATATGCTGCGCTCTACAGTGGTTTAAATACAGGGTGTGCTGCGCGTGTTGACATTGCAACACCAAAATAGTTGCGGGCGAACCCTCTTTCATTTCAAAGTGGTAAAAGTGTAGTTGGGGACACCTCTATTTTTATCTAGCTATGTTTAAAGGTGACTTTTGCAAATAACTGTCTGTTAATTATGACGCCACTTTTTCATCATATTTTATAGGCAGTGGATATTTAGCCGGAGACGGCAAACCTGTAGTAAACGTTAGCTTGTCGGATATGCACTGAACATGCGCAGTTACTGGGTTTTTTGTACTTAAGACATTTTCCGGTGACAAATTTTAGTCTGGCTCCATACTCTGCAATAAAATGTTTGAGACATGTTAAAATAATAAAAGAAGAATATTCTTATTTTTTCGGGATGGGGAAAAAACCTTAAAAATTTTACCAGTGGGGCCGGGGATCGAACCCGTTTCTTCCCGCTCATGAGATCCGTTGCTTATCCACTACTCCACAGGTGCTACACAACCGTTGGTGGTAATTTAATATATCTTATAATTCAGCCCAATCTTAGAGAGTACAGCGCCCTCTGTTGATAAGGATTGCCACCGGCAAACCTGTAGTAAACGTTAGCTTGCCGGGATTGCCGCCGGCAATATATCCACTATCTATTTTATAGGCCTAATTAATGAAGGTCACTCATTGCTGCAACAATGTTGGACTGAGAAACTTTCCGATTTTGTTAGAAAATACATTGAAAATGCACTCAACTCTCCATAGACTTTGTACGCAACCAAAGAAGTGGCATCTGGATAGTAGGGTCTACATTCTTTCCAATCATTACCGATAGAAATAACAGAAAAGAATAGCAGTTGAGATATTGGAATGAATTTCCGGTTGTGGAATTTCTAGTCTGAGTAACTTGGACCCAACTTATTGCCTTTTTAACATTCGGACATGGTCTGGCGATAGTAGGGTCCAAGCTAATCCGTATAGATGCCGAGCAACACAATTTTGTCCTTGACCCAAATACCCCACATTGCCCAACAAAAACATCAGATTTCACCCTCAAAATGGCCTACAAATTAGTAGATACATGTACGCCACCTGAGACCTGTACAACTAGACATCGATAATTAAGATGGTTGTACTGAAGTTTACTTACGATCCGGATGAAAAGTGAAATTTCCCATTCAATTCTGAGAGCTCCCCTTGCGATCGTGAACACGTTAAATTTCCGACTCTTGTTAATGTTTGAACGACGCGATGTGGTCTTCATGCCCAGCGTACATTCGATGTACGCTAGACGCATGGTTGGAAAGGCCTTCTTTCATTGATTTCTTCAAAGTGACAGCTTGCCAGAATAATTTCACAGGGAGTTTAGTCCCATTACTATCTTTCAACCAAGTATGTTTTTCAACAATAATTACATCAGTTACTTTTTGGATAGCTGCAAATGATGGACTGTACCTTTCAACGCTGTTCAAATCTGAAGATCATTAACACTACCGGTATATTACAGAATAGTGTACAAATGCCCCCGTAACCCAGCTGGCTCTGTCCATATTTTGTGCACAGGCGTATATTATTATCAGTATAATGTTTTTGGGTGTCAGAGCAGAATGGGGGGGGGGATTCACATTATAATGAATTTCAATAAAAAAAAATTGAATCGGCACCTGGTTGTAGATCCTACATGTACATTGTGTATACATTCGTGGTGACTGGATGATCGGAATTCTCGTAAACTCTCGCATATATTTTAGGTTCACTTGCACGCTTTATATCGGGCGGCTCCCTGGCTCCGACGACTGCCTAGTTTACTTACATGGTACTTGTACGTTAGTCAGTTTCTAGTTATTTAGTGCGCTGCACTACAATACTTCAACGGGTCATAGGCCTGGCCGCTGGTAATGGCCCAAGCTGAATTCGAGGGCTGTTATCGCCGCCAGGCCCATAACCAGTTTGAAACACAACGTTTATAACTGCTCTATCACCCCCATTATCCCCATTCATAAATAGCTTTTTGTTTAACCCTAACCACCCTGAATCCTTCAAAATCCTCTTTGCCAAAGTGAGGAATTTGGAGGATTGAGGTTACTGATTTTGCAGGAAGCACTTTGTCAAGGTCTTGGGCCGGACCTTGTTTTGTTTTTGCTCAGCCATGCATAAATATAGGCCTGGATTATGTACTGCTCCAGGATGTCACTGGCCAAACCTCAACATATTGACAGTCACTGCCGCAGGATTTCGCAGGATTCAGGCAGTGGTCATCCCTACACGGACCATATTCGAGAGATAATGGAGGAATTTGCAGGATTTAGGCTACATGTATGCTATTTTTCCATGAGGCTAATTGGAGGATTTTGCAGGATTGAGGTTACATCCTAGCAAAAATGCCCAGGGAGTTAGGGTTAAAAACCATAAAAAGTCCAAAATATTAACAAACTTTCAACGATATTCTACCATTTTGCTCCATGTTGGGAACTCTTCTATGGTGTGCACGGCACGTGCGGCCTGCTCCATCTCTCCTTATATGGAATATGGAGATCAAAGCAGTGGCCGTCAAACCACAGTAGCGCGCGACACATACTGCGCACATGTGGCGCGGAGCGCGGTTGCTCATGACCGGTTTTAAACATCGTTGTTTAAACAATGAGTGGTGTTGAAATTGCAGTTTAAAGGGAATATACAACATTTGCAAACATCAAAAAATAAAACTACCAAGTTTTTACGAAATACCTTGATAGGATGTTGGTGAATGACAGTCTAAAGCATCCTGTAAAATTATGGTACCTGGTGTGAAGTCATTTTCAAGAAAATGGTATTTTTGTAAAAAAATTCCAGTGGTGGTCGGCCGACCACCGTTGGAAAAACCTAACTATTTTTCAACTACTGCTCCAAATTTACCATTAATTTAGTCCAAATTTTGTTTGCTATTGGTTACATGTTCATGAACGGGTGCAGGCCAGCTAGACTGGTACCCTTACCTTACAATTTTCCGGCATCTGTAAATTGATCCATTTTATATTAAGTGGAGTCAGGGAACCAGACTACTTGAACAGTTTTGTTTTTCTTGGATTTTCCAGCATTTTGAACACAAAACTTCAAACATGTCAGTGTAACAATATTTGATCTATTACATGTATACTAACCCCTCAAATAGTTCATTTCTGAAAAATACAGCAAAAGCCAATGATGTATATTCCCTTTCAACCACCCACTTTGCAGGCTCTTGACCAATTGGAATAGGTAACCGGTCTCTGGTAGTTTATGAATTATGCATTTAAATTATTATGCTTGTCTATTTTTTTTCCCCTTTCCAGTTACTGAGGAAGAAATCAAGCGTATCAGGGAGGCATTCAAGCGATATTCTACTCCTGCTGGGTACATGAGCCGGCCTGTCTTCGTGAAGGATGTACTCGGAGATGGCATGCCAGCAAAACTTGGAGAGGTAAAAAACAAATCGAAAATTTAGTTTCTAAAAATTATTTTGAAACTTTCTTGCATGAGAGTTTTCTTTTTAAGAATTTTGTTTTCTGTCGAGGAGTTTTCATAGTGTTGTCTTGATTCCATTGGAAAAACAATTTGTGTTCTTCAGCAATAGTCTTTTTACTCAATAGCTTGTGTGCGATTAAGAGACGATTCATCGATGTTTCTCAAATTGCAGCCTAATGGTGGGGCAGATACATGAAGGGGAATATTTGGGGGAATTGTGCCTTTGATCATGATACAAGCATGGCATTTGGCACACAGTCAGAGTGCTACCGTATGTCTTAAAGAAACATATTTGGTTATGGGGCCATCGTACATTTGTTCTTTGAAAAAAATATAGTTAGAATAACAAGCAATTTGCAAAATTTTCAAAATGGCTGCCATTGCTTGTAATTCTACCTGCAATTTTTTTCAAACTAAAAAAGGACAAATCTGTGATGGCCCTCTAGCCAATTTTTTTTCTCATGACATACATGTACTCTGACTGTGTGCCAAAAGCCATGCTTGTATCATCATAGGCACAATCCCATCAACTATCTGCCGTACTTAAACGAAGGCCGTCACTGCTTAACCATTACAGAACAGCCCTGATATGATATGTTATGTTCATTGTATTTGTCCACCATTTTGGGAAACTTAGCTCAAGAAGACCGTTCGCCTAATTTTCACCAACGTTGGTTGCAAACAAAGGATGTGACTTTTGTGTTTAATTTTGTAATGCCTGTGTCACGCTGTCACGATGTAGCCTCCCGATCACGATAAGACAGTGCTGAGACGCAAGACTCAAAGACATCGTGAAACTCGGAACGACAACTGAACTTTATCGGAGTGACTTCTTGAGCGTCGTTTCGGCATCCTACAGGTCGTGCATGGTCGGCAGTGGAGCCACGATTAGTTTCAGCAGTTGAAACACATCACAATAGTCAGCAAAAATATCCAAAACGGATCAGAGTCTGTCCTCTGTCTGTACTCAAACGGTTGTGTCGTAACGAAGTCGAAACGACATCGCAATAGTATTTGTGAGATTGGCAGTGGTCGTACATGGTCGGCCAAATTTTGTTAGCCGACTTTGAAACGACCATTACGATGTGAAATTCCAAAGATGACGTCACTCCATTATTTCGGCATCGGTTCTCGATCTTTTGTGTCGGTACTCAAGCGATTGTATCGGTAGTCTGTCGGCATTTTGTCGGTTATGTCGTAACGAGATCGGAACTCGGTCGTGACAAAAAATCAGATAAACGGATCCAATATGTACTAGCGAAGTTTTCATATTCCGTTAGAATTCGTTTCAGAGTCGTAGTATTCGGGACGACAGACTTGAGCTCACAATACAAAATTTGAATTTGGAGCCACATTTCCTACGTTTTCCAAGATATTTTTAAATCTCATGGTCTTGACGGGGTCTTGGTCTTTGGTCTTGGATGTGTGACGGGCCTTTATGTTTTGCCACTATTTTAAGAACTTTTTTAAACGTTTAGCCATTTCACAAAAGCTGAAGCCTGCCCCTTGTTTCTGCAGTCGTAGACCAGTGTGATTGACACGATAAATCAACAGCGATTGACATAATAGATAGTGGGCAGTAATTGAAATCGTAAAAACTTAACAACATTTACCCAGAATGTAATAAAGTACTGCAGTGCTTCAAAGTTTTTTTTTAATTAAGTGGGTTTCAAAAATTATGTGCTAAACATAATTCACAGGAAAATTGCTTAAACGAAACTTGTCCTTTTTTAAAGATTTGGGTTTGGTTTAAAGGGTTTGTGAAATTTTTAAACTGATGTAGACATTTTTAGGTTAATCGTTTAAACGTGTAAAATCAAATCCTTCTAGGTGGAAACAGTTGGTTGCAATTGCGCAAATGTTTAGCAGCGGCGGCATAAATGAATATTTGGCTTTTAAGATCAGCAAAAATGTATCCAAAAAATAAAAATAAAAATTTGCATTTAGGATAACTTCCTTTGTGGTTCTGAGAAAAGTAAGTTGACCTTTTGAACAGCATGTGTACCGGTACTACCGGTACATGCATTCCTACTAATTAAGAAGCTTTAGAGATGTCGTTGTGTGGTTACTGTAGCGTGTAAGAATGATCAAGAGGGTATTTAAGCGGATTTTAAGATTCGTTGACCGAAAATATGTCTTCTGTTTAAATGTACATGTATGCATGTGTGCGTGTTACCTGAACCAACTTTCTACATGTAAGTGGGCAACAAATTTTGAGGGATCCTTTACCTTAAAAACGAGTACGAACGTTGTGATACAAGCGTGCATCTGTGTTTTCTTGTGTCAATACATATGTGATACATGTACCGGTACATGTAGACCGTTTGTCATTCTCTAAACGAATTAGCTCTTGAATTAAAAGAATTAAATCCCAGAGTGCCGAGGGATTCGGCAAACTGCCAGCATTAATGGGCAGGATGCTTTTAGCTTAGCAACCCATAACGAACGCTGCGTCTAGGTGATACAGTATAGATCACAGAATGCATACAATTGCCTCCAAAGTCAACACATACATGTACACCCATACATGTACATGTGTACATGTACCGGTACATAAGTGGATACAATTCATTTTCATTTGATCTTTATTGAATAAAGAAATTAGGCCTTGTGATGCATTCCCCTTTGCTCTTTTTGAGTTTCATCCCCCCAAAAAAATTCTTTTTCTCAACTGCTGATTTTCTAGTAATGCAAAATTTATTCACTTTTGAATGAGACATCGGCCGAAACAAGGCAAGCCCACGTTTAGTTATTGAATTACTTTAAAAATGTTGCGGCCCGGCAATAATTCTGTTCCTGTGGGGTAGAGGCTGGTTCCTGCCCCACAATCGGTATCAGTAATGTATGGACTGGGAACCAGTCTGCTCGTAAGGCAGATCTTTTCGTACCCAAAATAAAAAAACCTTTCTCAGAGGGTTGCAGGCACCAAAGAAAGAAAAAAAATGATTTTTGGGGGGGAGATTGGAATTAAACATACAAGTTGAAAATTTCTTAGGAGAAAAAAATGTTAACTTGTTGAAGAGCACGGGTTATGTACATGAATATGTGTAAAACTTTAAGATTTGGCTGATATTTTTACAAGTTTGTCTTGTGCAAAAGTGGTTGAAGATCGATTAAATAATTATAACAATTTGCAAAATTTAAAAAAAATGATTAGGCCAAAAAAAAGAGAGTTCTGCTTCCGATTTCATGGCGTTCAAAAATAGGGTAGGTACTAGGTAGGTACATGTAGGGAATTTTTTTTTTTTGCCAATTTTTTTTGTGTACGATCATATGGAGGCATCTGCGTGTAGTCAAGGGTAAAAGGTAGAAAGTGATTGGTTTTGGGTGTTTTTTCCCCTCATTTTTCCTGTAGGGGCTCTCAGAATAGGGTAGGTAGGGAAACTATTTTTTTTTTTTTGGCCTTATCGTGATCTAAAATTTCTTACACAATGTAGAGAGAATTTAAAGAATATTAACCAGAGCCACTGATCCGAACTTGTGACTTATTCATTCTCCACATTCAGGTTAAAATAACAATTTCAGACTCAATTTTTTCACCCGACATAACAGGAGAATAAAGACTACAAATTGTATATACCGGTATTTTGCCCAGAAGTTACAGCCACAATAACAACTTCAACTGCGTAAAAATCTGAACAACAAATTTGCCTCCTGGAAATGAAACCTAAAATGAGCACCTTCAGTTGGAAAACTGTCAATCATAGTTGTAGTAAACCTTCCTGCAGGCAAGTTACCTCAATTAGGCCTAAAAAAAAAAAGTGTTATGTTGGCGTAACCCGACCGACCCTAAAAATGCGGCCGACCCTGGATATTTTTTTTTTTTGAAGGGAAGAAATATAATTAAAATCTATAGAGATGAATTTTAAATACGTTTTGAAACCATTTCTGACCGTTTCTCCTCAATTGTATGACAATAGCGCGCGTGGAACTTTGGAGTGCACAATGTTTTGCACCTTCCTCTCCATGACAGTGACACAACGAACATGCAGAAGATCGCGCAGGCCTACAGGCAGTGCGCGTGCGGAGATCGATGCACCATGCATGCATGATTGATGTACAGTACACGTGTAGCCTCGTCCTAGACTGTTGCACGGCGCGAACTGCTACATACACTATTGAAAATACTTCGCTATTTATTCCATGTTAAAAAAATAGTTCATTATAATATAAATTATTTTAATTAATTTTCCACTATTTTACACGATAACAATTGATATATATTTATTCTAAAAATGGTAAACTATTCTGTAACCCCGGCGGCCGACGCGACCCGGCCGGCCCTCGGCCCGTGGTTACGCGCGTACGCCGTCGCATCATGGCGCCCGGTACTGAAGCGTACGTGTTTCCATCAAGGGCAAATGGGGATCTTCGGTCATTTTCGACCGTTTAATGCGGACAAATTTAAGTCTAGAGCTGGGGGTAATCGCCCAGAGCTGTGCCGTTGGTGTAAAAGCGGGTTACACCTTGCTAAAAATACAAACTTCAAAGGAAGAATCGGGTCCATATAAAGATGTCGATGCAGATGAAACGGCTAACATTTTGTCTGATTTTGGATTCCGCTTTTTGATATGTACCTTTGGAAAGGTTGATGATGAGCCTTGTTTTCTTTTGTTATCGTGTACTACTACCGGCTTACTGTCATTTTCGTTGCTGGGATTAAAAAAACAAAAACAAAAAAACAAACAAACCGACCTACCTACCCTATTTTTTCTGGCCCGTTACGCCAACATAACTTTTTTTTTTTTTTAGGCCTTACTCCTCCCAACCCAGGTGTTAAATGGGTAACGGCATTATTCAATGATGGGAAGGTAAGGCCACAAAAAAAAATGTCGGTCTCTGGTCAGACCGAAGTTCTGGAATTGATGCGGCGACGCGGGTTTTTTTTTTTTTTTTTGGTGGCTTTTTTTTTTTCAAGCTTGTATTGTACAAACAAGGTGCATGGGTACTATTTTG